ATTGCTAGCTGGCAAGTTTCTGAAATTTGGATTTTTTTATTTGTTTTGCTTTTCATCATATATTACAAGCCGTGAACAGCGAGAGTATTCGCTCCATTTTTCTAAATAATTTACGCTCTGTAGTCATTGAGCAATTTCAATTTTTTTTTATGGGAAAATATTACAAATTTATACGATTTTTCAGCTTTTAAGGAATATAATCGTCCTTATTTACTTTACAACTTATTTAGCTATGTCTATGGGCTGTGTTGACGAAATAATTGTCCACGCGCATTACGCCATCTTTAGGGTATGAATCAAGGCTATTTAAGCTTCTGTCTCTTAAGAGTATGAATTGTAATTTTACTAAAATACAAAACAGCTAACAAGACCAAGCTTTGTCGAGAGCTAAAAGCATGGTCTTATTTTTCACTTCCTTTTTTTCGTCCAAACAATCACAATTGCGTCTATGAATGAACCATGCATAAATTTTCCAATCGCGATGACCTTGGATTTATACAAACTTTTAGGAGAATTTTTCACCGAAACATGCCTTTTCAGTTACGTAAATGAGGTGTTGAAGCCAGACCAAAAAAACGGTGTGGTTTGGTCATCTAAAGTTTGTCTTTCCGATAACTAGTTAAAAATTAAAGTGCTCAATTTGACTGGCTCGCTCTGGCTTGCAATTTCCAGTTTTAAACAAGGTCCATTTACGCATACATTTAATGATCGCAAGAAGCGCTGATGTACTCTTCAAGTCGACCTTAACTGCACCTTTTAATCCATCGACTTTTGTTTGCAGCCAACAGTTAAAAACTTATTCAACGAAAAATGCCGGCAACCTGTTATAAAATTCTGCTAGATGTAACCGGCGATCTCCTGACAGTATTGCAAAGCGCTTATGCCATCGGATTCTTTAAATTGGTACAATAGACATTATCCTACTGTTTATAAACCACTGTTTACTGTAGTTATATCTCGAATATTACGCTTTGATGGGAGATAACCCGATATAGAGATGTCTGAGGCAAACAAAGAAAGTATACTATTATTGCGGAGAACACTTGTCTAACAATCAACCGTTAGGTGCATGCGCCTCAAAAATTGATTTATCGCAGTCGGACGCGTATTTTTCGAGGGGTAATCTCGGAGGCCAAGTTCAGTTTAAAAAGAAAGAAAATAGCCATACCATTTCTTCGCTTCTAAATGAATTAGTATCTGAGTTAGAAGTGAAATTACCGATCAGCTCGACATCAATAGAATTCTAAATCTGATATTCACATCAAAATGCATCAAAAATGTCTTTAACAAAAACTTTCCCCGTCACGAACGTAACCAGATTATTTAAGATCTGCAGATGAAAATTGTTCATTTCTTTACAAAATAATCTTTACGGTAGCGCTTGATACTTCTGTACTTTCGCTCGGACGTAGCTGCAGTGATAATGAAGCAAACAAAAAATGATTTTATTCAGACAGTGGTGCAGAGCATTGATTAAGAAGATGCAATCGAGGTGAAATGTATACCACACTTCGAAATTTACTGTTATGACTAAAAAATCAACATACTCTTGTTTCCAAAAGGTACTGAAGACGTTAGCGATGTATTTATTCTAAGTCCTTGAGAAGCCCTATTTTTACAAAATAAAACTGTTATATACCTTAAAGAAAATAACCATGAAGAAACTTTAAATACATCATACCCTACTGCAGCACCATGCGCGAAAAGTGTAGTTACATTTCTCCGGCAGTTTTATAAGCTGATGATTTGAAAATCTTATTTCACGGCTCAATATCATTTTCAAAAGGGATATGTTTTGGTGATAAAACATACTACCATAGTCCTCCGAGTGGAATGTAACAAGACAATAGTTACATCAGGGTAACAAAGTCGGCGGAATAACTAAATACGAATGTTTCACCATTGGAATAACTAAATACCCTATTATCTCTACGGAGGACTTTCAAGCAAGCGTACAGAGTCAGGGTTACTTTTCGACAAAAAAACACTCAATAAAATATTCCGAACGAGATTATATCTATCGAAGGAATTTCCCTTCTTACAGTCGGCTGGAAATATCTTTTTTTTTTATCAGTGATATTGGCCTTTGCTCTCGCTAATAATAATTATATTGAGAAGATTGAAGGCCCCTTACATACGCTTGAGATTCGCCAGCCTGACAAGACAACACAGCAACACCAGTTTTCCTTTCTGTCGACGCCTCTCAAATCCTGATAAGCTTATTTCAATCCGAAGCTATTGCATTTACCGGGAAAACGTATGGTGTGGCTGCCAAAAACGTAATCTATAGGCCCTGTTTCAATTTATGTCCAGCACTACTCGCTGCCAATCTGATAAAAATCGAAAAATTGAGTATAGCTAGTTTCTAAAGTAAAGCTGTACAGAGTTAAAGCTAGCCGCTTACTCGCGGCGCTCGGTAAATATAGCGGAAAGAGTCCACACTTCGTAGCTGACTTTTAACAAACCTATAAACCCATGTTTATTTAGTTGTTCAGCAAGCTTTCTTAAACAAACGGAACGCAATTTCGCACTGACTTACTGAGTCAAAGTTGAAACCGAAAAAATTATCGAACTGAGTCAAAAATAGATGGTTCGCACCGGTGTCGGGTTGTTATGGTGAGAGCAGATATCAGATGGAAGTTCATAAAATCACTTTAAGTAATATCATGTATAGATCCGCAGATGGACGATTAAGCCGTGAAAAACTCATTCCGAACGTGTGCTCTTGTCACAGTCTTTTGAATTTCTTTTCAATAGCAATCTAGTTCACTTGATGAGCGCAGTGAATTTGGTAACACGCACCGAGCTCTTAATTTCCTTCTACTGTTCATCAGTTACAGGAAATGAGGAATGAAGTTTAACAAAACTTTTTACATCCTTCGGCGAAAAGTGTGTGTAAATTTAAATATAGTTGTATTTTCTCTGTGTTACATTTGCGCATCTTAATCTAACCTTGAAACAAAGAACGGGAAAGGTTTTTACAAAAGACGCGATTAAACTAAAGAATGGTTCAAAACGCCCAGTCAGAAAACAATATTTCGTCGACAAAGAAAGCTTTTTGAGGGCAAATAAGCTTTTCGACTCCAATGAATACCTTCCTTGCAAAAACCTCTTCAACCCATTTATTTTTGTTTGCTCCGAGAAATACCGCGCTCTTTTCAATAATTTTTTTTCAAAGAATAGGTCGAACTGTTATTAAAATTGCGTTCGAATAATTATATTTTGCATCCGCCTGAAACATTTCACTTTTCCTAAAAGAAAACACACACAACGAATTGTAAAGGCTTAATTAGACAGGCCGTTATCAATGGTTTGTACTGTTAAACGGACCAAAGTTATACAATGATAACAAACCAATTCATTTTACAAGCAAACAAGCGAAGGCAAATAACAGAAAAAAGGAATCTTTCGGTGTGTTCAGAATTTATCGTTTTTATTCTATCACAAAGGTGTTCCTTTCGAAAATTGTTTTTCTCTACATAATTACCAGCGTCAAAGCTTTGATTTTCGTGGCGGGCCTTGTTTAGGTGATCTCTCTTTCAAGTTCCGCTCGTTTGCAGATCTCATTTTCGATAAGATTGCCTAAAATTGAAAATAATTCTTGGCCTCTCAACATTGATAGCGTTGAATGATAGAAAGGTCATTAGAATAATAAGTACCAAAACAACTCTTTTAAACATGTCACATTTGTGACTCTTCTGAACAGCATGTTGTCGAAATGTTTAAACGATCTAGAACACGATTTCCACCTTCTCTACGAATCCATTCCATAAAGAAAGACTTTAATTTCGAAGGGTTTTTTTGCGTGAAAATTTTACTTCACGAAAGGTATAAATTTAATTTGAAATCTACCCCGTACAAACGATCGTATTTAGATGAGTCATTCAGGGCTTTTTTCATGATAATTCTTTCAACGGAACCTCTACAACAACAAGCTTTCAGGAGTTTTCATTCACGAATTACCATGATAACGACTCTTCTATTGTGCACAAACAAAAGGTTATTATACGAAAGGAAGTGGGTTCTTTCATAAAGGGCACTTATGCTTTAGTACTATTCATTGCCCAAAGCGATTAATCAGTTTCCTTATAGCATGGGATTGAAAATGCAAACGAACCTTCATCTTATGATAAGTAATGAAAAAATAAAACCAAACCTCTCCGGCAAAAACCATAATTGAATAAATTGTGAAAAAGACTTCAATAAACTCTCGACTCCTATTAAAATATCTATACATTAAAAGTGAAACATGATACGGTGCTAGTTACGAGTGCGCGCGAGCAAACGCACGGATTTGCCGTCAGCCTCAGTCTTACATTGAGAGAGAGAGAAAAAAAATTGTTTTGTTGTGTATTTAGTGAAAGATCTCGACATTGTAGTTAGCAATTTCACGGCGAGACAAAAGCTTTCATAAGCGAAGTGTATTCTTATGCTAAACGGACGAATAAAAGCCTTGATAATTGATCATTTGTAAGGCAATTCGGCGGAGAAAAATGACAGCCCCACCGAAAGAATCGGATATTTACTTTGCTTTACTTTCAATATAAATTAATAATTTCCCAGTGCAAGTTGAATATTAACGCGATGTTTGTGGAAACTACTCGCCAGGAGCGATGGAAGTGCGGAATTGAACTTTCAAAGGAAAAACATACTATCCATTGTTCGGAGCGGCTTGCCTCACAAGGACCGCTGAAAGCCTAAAGATCGCTGAATTTTGAGTGCATTGTCTTCAAACAATGGGAAAGCAATTGATGAGTAGAAAACAAAAGTTGGGCCATTGTACTTTCGCCAAACCAAAATAGAAAATTATTTACAAAATCCAAATATCTTTTTGAAACACCAATCAAGGTAATATCGCAAAACATTTCAAAGGCACCACTCGAGGGGAATTTTCGGATTCAACTTCCTCTATTTTAATTGGATAGCCTTTTCGTAAAGTGACGTGGTCTGAATACTTTGTGAAAGCGAGAATGAAACTCAATTATTTCACACGCATGCTCTAAGGTGCGAGCTTTGATCTTTACCGCGTGAAGCAATCAGCGAGTAGTTCACTTTCAACGAGCCAGCGACCAGCACGGACCGATATTTACTCTTGACAACCTAGAAGTCTCTAGGAGCTAAAATTTAGTGAATCGTGCGGAATAATAGTAGAGGATATCCACACACAGACATGGCCAAGCCAGCTGAACATGTCAAGCGCCCCATGAATGCGTTTATGGTTTGGTCCCGAGAAGAGAGGAGAAAAATCGCCCAGGACAACCCCAAGATGCACAACTCCGAGATCAGCAAAAGGCTCGGAGCTGAATGGAAGCAGTTAACAGATGATCAGAAAAAGCCGTTTGTCGAGGAGGCCAAGCATCTACGGGCGCAGCACATGAAAGAACATCCTGACTACAAATATAGGCCTCGAAGAAAACCCAAATCGCTGTTGAAAAAGGTAGACCGCTATCCATTTCCACTACCGTGTTTACCAACCTCTGACGAACTACTCAAGTGTAGTCCTCCCGGTATATCGACATCATCGTTCGTAACGGACCCGTTCTCGTCAGCGGTGAACGGCAAATCACGATCATTTATCCCAGTTTCATCAGGATACACTTTTGACTCGAGTGCCGGGCACTCCATTACCTCATCAAGGTTCGACCGCGGACTAGAGATTCCAAGCGCTGTACGCCCTGATATGCTCACGGGAGGGCAAATGTACCCTCACTCTGCGCTCTATCCAAGCGCTCCACCGACAAGTTCGGCTCTGCTGAACGCTTCTGGTATGCCTGTTTTACCTGGAGGCCAATTAAGTCCTCACTCGCATCTCCACGCTGTTCAGGGAAGCAATGGACAGTATACGGTTCCTTGCAACTGTTCGTCGTGGCAGGGACAAGATGTAAGGAGACCTGTCGCATATCTACTCCTTTAGTTGAAGTGACTGACTCTTAAATCCATTTATCACGATTGACTATTTATGTATAATACAGCAACTAACTGGTGTAAATTATTCTTATCGAGCAAGCAAGAATTTTATTATATTATTCCGTGCGATTTCATATGATTTTTTTTTTCATGGACAAATTCATTCCAGACGAATACATTTCACTACGTAGAGATGTTGACGAGTTTGACGACCAAATTTCTGACCACGGAAACCGTTGCCAGATCGCAACACGTCAGAATTTGTATATTATAAGGCTATGTGTGTGAATATTTAAATATTGAAAGAATTCTCATTCGACCTCATTTCATGGGTTAGTAGCTCTTTTAGGAGGTACTATTAAATTTCCGCTTTGGTTTGCCAAGCAGAGTGACTCCGCAAGCCCTGCTTGTCCGTTATTTACCAGAGCAACTTTCACTCGTAATTTAAATTTGACAAAACTAACCCCAAGTTTTCACCGAACTGTCACATTAAAATTAGCATTGAATGTAATTTGTTGTCAACTTTTGTTGTCTCAGTTGGGTTTATTTGACACTAGCTTTGATGTTAAAGTTTGAAAAAATTCCGTTAGCATAGGAAACGCTCCCCTGTCAGTCAGAAATCTTCCCCATCAAACATACAAAGACAACTGTCTTCGTTTACATCTATTGTGCCAAGGTGTAAACTACGTATTCGTGGTTTAAAACAGCAAATAGTTTTGGTACTCTGTCCGAAGAAACAGTTCAAGGCTGGCACGAGTGCAAGCTTTGAAACTTGAGGTTAGATGGATGAAATTTCACCGGAGAAAGTTTGTCTTTGGTGTCGCTTATATCTTCGACGTTTCATTTGAACACAAAAAAAGAGATGGATTTGTATAATGATTACAGAAACCCTAAACAGATGGCGTCCCGCAAAGAAAATTATTTCCTTCAAATGCATCTTTGAACGGAAGCATCTGTAATCTTCTTGCTGCTTAGAAAGCATCACAAAAAAAACTCCCCCTTCTATCGATTTAGGTTGGTCTCCCGTCGTCCGAGTGAAAAACACAGCTGTACCAAAGCTCACCGAGAAGCGCTGTGCGTCGTTATTGTAAATCTTACTTTCGCATATTGATAATTATATAAAAGAAACTGAGAGACAAGGGCCGAGAATAACAACATAATAAAAAATACATGAGGTGTTGAATGAAAGAGATGACATAAATAAATAAATGGACGATCAAGAAGAGATAAAATGAATAACAAAGGTGAATGAATTACAATTGCTCTAATACTAATATCTCCATAACAAAAGATTACATCCACAAAAATACAATAACTGAATAGCGGCACAATGGCTCGATCGGTAAATAAGGGAAAGGCAGGAATGAAAGGCACGGCTTTCGGAAAAAGCGAGGCAGTGATGAGATGACTTCGCTACGTATTACTTGTTTGTAAATGCTTAAAAAACGCGGTGCGAAAACAATCGTCTCAAAGGGGGCACCGCTTAGAGGGCATCTTAAACAAACATGAACAGAAAAGGGATTGAATAGCTCATAATCACCACCTTTCGAATCGTTTTTAGGGCATTGAAAAAAAAAATATCCTAGCATGGTTCACGTTGATTTGCTAAAAATTGCGAGCAAGAAGACCACGCGTTCGAATCACGCCGAGCTACATTTGCGCGACGCGGCAGATGTCGAGTCAGCGACGGGCCTTTGTAAACTGCGTGCGACATTTATTGGGCTTTAAGAGGCTATGCAAGTGACAAAAATCAAAGCTTTCAATTATGACCATTGTCTTTGTTTTATAAAACACTGGGATTGTTTGTAAAATGTGTTCGAGATGATCTGTTTGCCGATTTACGATAGCGTTTGGTTTCGACGAGTTTTCGTTTTTTTTTTTTCGCTTAATGGTTTGGCGCGCAAAATTTTCCTTCAGTTTTAGGCGGGAAAAAAGCGCTTATAAACGTTAGCTGTCAAGAACGTGTCAGCTGAGGAGAGCGCAGCGTTTTTCGTCAAACAACTTACTTTTATATGCAGTAATAGTTTAGTCATTAGCTGTCAATGTGTCCTTTTCGGCACTTCAATTTAAGAAAACATAATCTTTAATTCCGCGCTTCGAGGTGTGAGTCAGAGAAAGCGATATTTATAATCGATGATCGATGTTTGCATATCTATCACACTTTTTAGGTTAAAACACTCAAGTTTTATCGCTGCTCTTAAGATTATCAAACCGACAAGCGCAATGTCCTCTAGGCAAGGAAATGGAAAATCCAAATTTGTTTTTCGCCGACGTTTGTTAGGAGAATTTCCCCTTTTGCTCCTAATTGTGTGACCCAGGATCATCAACACCTTAGCCTACGGGGTTGCCAGACCTTTTCGTCCTAAAATTACAGCATTATATTCGGTGACCTGTGTTATTTGTATTCAATTTTATCTCCCGCTGTATTCAATGGAAAATGAAAAGTAGTTATGCCAAACAACGTCAAATAACTTTGATTGCCTTTCAGTGCCTTGGCAAGTTCGTAGTGTTGCACTGAAGTTTTAGAGTCGAAAAGGTCTGTCATCTTTCCACGGTCATTATCTAGAATGAGGAAAATTGAAGTTTATCAAAGCGGTTTTCGCTTTTTCAAAAGAAGAATGCGTGGAAATAATTATAATAGTTTTCTGAGCAGAGATAAAAAAAACGCACGAAATTGAAAAAAAATGATAATAACAAGTAAATAACGTAAAACGAGAGAATAAATGGTGATGTTGACCGTTTAAAGCAGAACGTGTTTTTAATCGTCTAAGAATACCGGTGTAATTTTTGAATAGATCGCATGGTGAAAACTGTACTTCTGCCACAATCGCCTATAGCGTTTGCACTTAATTACAAAGAACATAATGGCGTGAAACACAAGTTTAAGTTCTTCGAGAACTATTACAATTACTCAATTTCATTGAACACGGAAACAATGCCGAGATTTCTGATTCATTACGGGCCGACGTGAAACCAAGCTTAGAAAGTGCCGAAGCCAAATAAGTCATTATGAGGAAATAATGGTTTGATGAGCAAGTGGCTGGCCTGAATATATCCATATTATTTATTAATGCAAATGTTTAAAGTAAAATGAAAACTTTCATTACAAAAGGATGTTTCTGGAATAATGGTCGCCGTTAAGACGAATTTTATATCGATAGACAGACGGTGAAGTGGATCGTTAGGCAACAAACAAGAAAATAAACAAAATATTTTATCAATTTTTTCTCAGTGTATCGATTTCAGGTACGGTTTCAAGTTAAACGCGGGTCAGATTTCAGTTCGCGTTTCCTTGGCCATTAAAATACAAAACTGCGAAATTCAAATCGATAAAAATTACCGACAGGGGGTCGGCGTGGAAACATATTAATTTCTAAAAGCAGGTAGATTTCTGTTTTCAAAAACTGAAGGAAAAGTTAATAAAAATAAAAGGACTCGATCGTAAGTTGAAAATAAATAACATTTTTTGGCGGTCAATTTCGACTTTCCGGCCCGTAAGCGTCAAATGTAACTTTTCATTTTTTTTTTATTAGCTCTCATTCGACACAAAGTTATCAACGTTTCATTTACAAAGGATTACAATGAAAATTACTTGCAAAGTGTCGTGTATGCTAATACTAATGATAAAAATCCCAATTTTTATCAACCGATGCCATCAGGAGACAGACATCAATTGCTGCGCCATTCCACCAGAAGAAATATTTTTTCTTTGAGAAAGAAATAGTTTTCTTCTTTTTATCATGCTGTTACAGATTTAAAAAATAAAATAAAATAAAAAATTAAAATAAAAGGGAAACATTCTTAGAAGAGACGATGGAACTCTGGGATGTTGCAAGACCGCAAAAGTCAGCGGCTGTGCCCATTACGTCATGCTTATATTTAGTTAAATATGGCGGCCGAACTTGGTCATGGTGTTGTGTCATTTGTCTAAAATTTCTCCCTTAAACGATCGCAGTCGCCAAAATATGAGCTGGTTATTTGGATCATCGAAACCTCCGAAGTCTCAACTACCACCTACGACAGCTTTACAGCAACAGAGACTAAAACAGATCGAATCGTTGCGTACGCTTCACAAGTGAGTTTCAAGTCCACTTTTCACTTATCTTTTTTTTATTTCCGGTTCCCATTTCTGCGGCTTTGATTTATACAACGAACCTAAGCTGAGCCGCCTTGGTTTCAAAGAATCTCCCGTATAATTTAAGCATTTCTTTTATGAACCCAAAGAAAGCCCTCCAAAGTTCTTTTCAAAAGCTAAAAGTGACAAGCTCGCTAAACACCACAGCAGGCACATCTTTCACAATTCTTTAATTTACGATAAAAAAAAATCGTGCTCTGATACCTAAGCGGTAATATGCTAAAATAATTTCTCAGTTGAAAACGTACTAGCATGGTGCATAATCATTGGTTCTGTCGAAGTCTTATGACTTGTATGCTGAACAAATTGCTCAATCTATGAAACGACTAATATGAAACCTGCCTGTACACAGTCTGTACTTCGCCACTATCAATGTCTACATTCATTTTAACGAGATTAATATCCGCGTTAAATCCCAAGTTCGTAGACGTCACAGTACATACTTTTTGCTACACGTACACTACAAGATCGTACAAGATCTCCACACAATTCTTTCATGTATAGTAAATTAAGCCGTGCTTTACATTCCTGTACACTGGAAGATTTATCTTCTATTATAACTATGATTAAATTTGTGTCAACAAACAGAGAACAGGGCATGAAATTGCACCTAATACAGGCGCCAATGCGCCTAAATTTTTCACTTTGGCGACCAAATCCTGAGAGTTAGTCGCCAAATTGGCGACTAGAACGTTTCATCATAACCTTACCAAGAGATATAGTGAATTAAAAAGATTTGTAAAGATAAATCCACGGCAAACTTCCTTGTTAAGTTTGTTTCCAAAACATAGCACATGCATCTCGATCGATAACTAGACGCCACCTTGGATTTAGATGAGCCTGAACATTGTATATCATCCATCCTTGTGTCCACTTTGTAGCACGTTAAAGATCTTTTCCCTAACTTAATTTTGGAGGGTCTATCTAGAACGCTGACAGCGTAAAGAAAGATTTTCTTTGTCTTTGAAAATGGCGACCAACTTTTTTTTAATTGGCTACCACTTTGAAGAATTTAGGAGCCAAGTGGCTATCAGAAAAAAAAGTTAATTTCATGCCCTACTATGATTAAATTTGTGTCAGCAAACAGAGAAGCCTAGTTACATAGGCAAGCCAAGCTAAAACAACCAGCCCCTTAGTAGTTAAAGGATAATCAGATAATAAGTGTGCTTACCTTCTCTTTCAATGTAACAGCTGATTGGTAAATAAAGACACTGGCAAACTTCTAAACACTGTAAGGGTTTCCTGGAAAGATGAAATGTACGTTTAAACTCTATGTAGTAGTAGGACAGTAGTTATCTTTTAATTTTGGTGGCTGATGAATTTTTTTTTGTCATGACCAATTGTTTCATTATATTTGC